GAGAGGGAGGGAAAAGGAGCAGGGAGGAGAGCATGACACATTATTCCTTCACTTAGGTTTATGAGGTTGAGAACTTTCCCAGTGTTTCCCTGGCTCTCCCGTTTGATCAGCTTTGTCACTGCATGCCTTCTTCCAGCCGCTTCTCAGAGCGCAGCACTTCACAGGACTGAGTCTACCACACTTGAAAAAACTGAAAGGAGAGCTCTGGCTCCCCTTCCTCCAGTCAACACACTTAAAGAATCAGAAAATATTTCCATTTTCCAAATATAATGGCCTCTCTTTCCAAGACTGGGCTGGCACAATTTTCATAGAAGCGGGTTCTTTTTCTTTAGTATTATAGATGGCCCATCAATTGGGCAGAACAAAGAAAAGAAAACTTACTTCCTTTTCTCAGTTCAGTTTTAAGTTGTTTTTTTTTTTTAAGTCTTGTCTTGTTGGTTATTTGGATACTGGCTTTAAGTTTAAAGGAAAGGGAAATGACTGGAAAGCTAGCCACAAAATTACACAGTGGCACGGCCAGGAGGAAAGCCTCCTAGTTCCGGAGGCCCTTGCAAATTCCTCCCACAAGTGGACAAAGTTTCCATCAGCAACAACCTTCCCCACTCTCAGCTTGCTGAGAAAGAGGAGAAATCCTTCAGTGCACAATAGTGAACAATTGACAAGCGTGGGCGTGAGGGTGTGCAAGCCATTGGCTACCACCTTCGTTACCTGTCTAGATGCTACACAGAAATGAAGAAAGTGGAATGCTGTTCTTACACCTCATTGGTTGGTTGAGCGGCCACTATGTTCTGGGCACTGTGCCAAGTATCTTATATACTTTATCTAATTTTATGCCTATAGCTGGAAATCAGGGTAGACTACTATCGTCCCCATCTTGAAGGAAGAAAAGGAAGCTCAAAGGAGCTGAGCTATTGGCTAAGACAGCAGCAGTAGTAGTAGATGCAGCCCGGGCCAGCCACTGGGACTCCATGGGCTGAGCCTTCAGTCATTACCCATGGGTGTCCCCAGGGCTGGCACAGCACTAAGACATTCTGAGCCCCAGAATGACATTCTAAAAAATGTCACACACCTCTCTTTTTAAAATCCACATGTTTTAAGTAGCATTCAGGGTCATACCAAAGTCCCATGTCTTAAACATAAGCTCAGTGTTAATAGAACCATTTAGACAGTATATCCTTAGGTCTGTAAAGAAGACTCAAGAGGAAGGGAATGTGTTTAAAAATCAGGAAAATCAACTTTGAAAGCAACTCTTGGTTATTTTAATACACACTCTCAGGCCTGTGGCCATGTCATATTGGGTGGGGCTGATGGCTGTGTGCTGGGGAGAATTCCTGGCTCCAGGTTCACCTGGTGAGACACCACAGGAAGCAGGAGGCAGTGAATTCTGATCTTCTAGTGGGACTGTCCTGGAGTCTACAGGTTGAGTTTTTGTTTGTATTATCTTTTAAGATTTATTGTTTTCCCAGCATTTCTTCAATTTTGCAAGTTGGTGTCAGTGAAGTGGTGTCATTAATAGAAGACGTTTAATGTCCAACCAGATCAAATGTGACCAGAATTACAGCATGGATTTAACAATTTATGAAAACTTCATGCTTGGCTGCCCAGCACTCAGGAGGCTGAGACAGGCCCGCAGTGAGTTCTGCCTGTTCTGGCTACAGAGTGAAACCCTGTCTCAAAACAACGAAACAGGAGCAAGCAGAAACAGCCTTTTAGGCTGTTTAGAAACAGCAAATACTTATGGAGCAGGTCTGACTTGCAGAACTGTCAGCCTCCTAACCCTTTCGTTTTCAAACCCACCCTCTGAAGGAGGTGGTGAGATGCAAGGCAAAGATCTAAGTAGCCATCTCAGGCTGGGAGATTTTCCTAAGTCTCAAGCACATCCTCAAAGCCAGCCCCTCCCTTGCAACAGCAGACCTGATTCAGGCTAACTGATGTGAAGCTGTGACTTAGGCACTGACCCTGAGGCTGGAGGGCACCTATCAGAAGAGTGTGCCTGGCTGCCTTTCTCTTAAGGAACACTTCGTCTGTAAGGTCCAGGTCCTGAGACACACAGGGAAGTGCCTCCTCTGATATCCGTCCCCGGACAAATACTGTGCCTGTGCTAAGGTCTGCCGGGCGACAGCTTGAGATATAAATGCGATGGTGGAAACCAAGTGGCCTCTTCCCTTCCACGGTACTGCAACTGCAGTGAGCTCACTTCAACAGGTCTTCAAGTCCTGCTCAGAAGACCCTTAACCCTGCACCAGACCCAGACCATGGCCCGGGATTGGAACCTCTCCTCCTGTGGCTACCAATAATACAATTACCACTTTCTGGGGCTCCACTCTCTAGATATCTGGTAGTGGTGGGGGAAGTGGGGAGTGGGAGGGGCTGCAGGCTGTCATCCAAGCTAAGCCCCGCCCTTGTGGAGGCCAACACACACGCAGACTCCACGGGGAGGGGCGTGTGCAGGCGGAGGCAGGGTTCGCTTAGCGCCTGGTTCAAACCCGTGCTGGTCCCGCTCAGGCGCGGTACAGGGCGCAGAAACCCAGGCAGTCCTGGGCAGCCAGGGAGAGGGAGTTGACCACGAAGTTGGAATTGGGTTTCCTCCTGCGCCCTAGCTTGGGAGCCCTCTTCCCCGCCCCTCCTCTCACCAAACTTCCCCGAAACTCTGAAATCCAAAATCCAAACTTGGCCAGATTTCCCCGCAGGGCAGCAAGGACGGAAGTGGATGGGATCGGCAGCCGCACGGTACCTTCGTTACTAGCCTGGTACCCCAGAAGCTGAAACAGCACCCGGCGGTAGCGGCCTGTGGACCCGCCGCCCCTCCCGGCCAGTGCCTTCCGGGTTCCAGCCTCGCCCCCGCAGGACCGCCGGCAGCCGTGAAACCGACCCCGCTTCCCGCCTTGGGAGGCACGCAAAGGCATCCCGAGGACTGCCTCAGAGCTCCCGGCCAATCCTCACCTTGCCAAGCTCTCCTGAGCCTCCTAGACAGGATCGCGACTTCCCACAGGACAGCAGTCCTAGTCTCGACCAGCGGCTCCCAGGCCACTCGCTGCCTCTTGGCCCTGAGCCCCGCTCACCCACCCTCCCCCCCATCCCCCCCCCACCCCCCCGCCTCTGGGTGGTTCACTTCGCTCCTTACCTGGAGGCTTACAAATCCCCTCCCCTCCGCTGGCCCAGACGGTGATCAGGAGCTGGCGCCCTCTGCCGGGACACCAGGCGGAGCCCCGCAGGCCGGGCAGAGGAAGGAGGAGAAAGTGGCGCAACTCAGCAGGGACACCCCTTCCTGAGCAGGAGCTAGGACGCAGGGACCCGTCTGGGCCAGATCCTAAAAGCTGTGCCTGCTCCCAGAACGGGCACGCGAGGCCAGAGTTGCCTCCCTTGCGGGCCATGAGGCCCAGTCCTGTCACCAACCACCTCTACCCCGTACTACAGTGCCCCGAAAAAACCGCAACTAATCTACAATACGCACGTGCAATTTTAAAACACTGGAAGTGTGGCGTTTACAGTGTTCAAACTAAGTTTGTGTCTGTGTCTCAGTGCCTCTCTGCTTAACTAAAGAGACTGAAGGAAAGAGCGGGAGTCTGCCACATTCCAGGTCTCCCCATAGGAAGAGGCTCCCGGAGAGCCCCAGGTGCGATGGCAGCCGCCGGGCAGGGGACGCCGGGTCGGGTCGCAGCTGAAGCCCAGGCTGGGGGAGTGGCTGGGGGCTGCCTCACTCTCTCAGGAAGGATAAACACGCTTCAGCAGCTTAATTCTCAGCCTCCCTCGGGTCTACAGAGAAACTTAGGGGTCCAGTCGAGGGAACATCTCAGAGCGAGGGCCCGTTCCGGACCCGGAGAACGTCCTCCGAGACGCCTCCCCCCACCCCCAAACACACACACATTTCCTGACCCTACTCACCTCGCTCTCCTGCGCAGCCGCCTTCGCCCACCTGCCGCCCCAGTGCCTGCGACAAGGACCCGGCGGCCTGGGGAACGCAAGATCGCGCTGGACCTCAGGGTCCGCAGCACGGTCGTCAGCCCCGGCTCGCTCTCCAGAAGTGCGCGGAGAGCTCTGCTCCGCTCCGGATGGACGCAGCTGCGTTTGGAGTAAAGCAATCTGCGGCCTCAGAACTGACCTAGCGCCTCCCTCCCGGACAACCGGTACGCGAATCCCGGAGCGGCGGGCGGGCGCCGGGTATTAATTGTGGGGCTCCCGGGTGTCCTCCGCCAGGCGCTCTGAGTGGCTCTGATGGCGCGCCAGGCCAGCGGAGCCGGTGAGACCCACCCCCTCGGCGCGCTCCCGCCCAGGCCGGGCCGGGGACGCGCCCCGCGCACGCGCCCCGCTGCTCCAGGGCTCCTCGGCCCTGGGCTCTATTTACCCGAAGCTTCCGGGAGCCAGAGAGGCTACTCACCTCCTAGTCCCGGAGTGGCTGGCTTGAGCTTCCAGCGGTTCTAGGGATAAGAACTGGCAACCCAGGCAAACATTGCAGCCTGTAGCTCTCCGGGCTAGTTGCCAAGGTGACCGACCTTGTTAGGCCACTCACATCTGTGTAAAGTCCAGTCCCACCACAACCACCAGTGTCCAGGGGAACTTACCAAGCTCATTGGTGGAACTTTTACCACAATGACTGCAGCCCTTCACCTCCCCACCCATCGGGTTACATATTGGCCCTGTCTTTAGGTGGGGCCAGGAAATTTGCATTTCTCACAAGCTCCTAGGTGATGCTGAGTTAAAGTTCGTGAAAACGCTGCGTGAAGAGCAGAGCGATAGATAAATTTAAATGTGGAAAAATATGTTGCATTTCTGCTTGAGCAGAGTGTTAGCAAAGAACTTCCTTCCAATCCCTGCTCGCTTCCTCTGGGTGTTAAGTTTTTATTTTTCTCTCCAGAGTTTGTTCCTAGCTCACATCGAACAGCTCCATAAAGAGAAAGGAAAGGAAGTGTATTTGTTTACTTAGAGCTGCCTATGGAGAAATCCCAAACTCGAAGTTCTTCACCAAGCGTTTATTTCCTTGCAGTTCCAGAGTTCAGGTATCCCAGATCAAGTTGTTGACAGGTTATGCCCCACTCTCCCGTGCGTTCACGGGTCTTCCTTCTGATTCTGTCGGTGTCTAAATCTCTTATAGGAGCATATGACCTGGTTGCAGCTTAATTACCCCTTTAAAGACAGTGTCGCAAATGCAGTAACATTCTGGGGTACTTAGGGCTGGCATCTGCAAAGACCAAGTGGACAGGATCATAGTCCACAGCTGTAAACTCCCATTCTAATATACCAGAAAAGACACTGAGGGTTTTCCTTCTCCATCCCTCCTCCCTCCACCTAGGCTGACCTGTGGACTTCACACACACACACACACACACACACACACACACACACAGAGTGATGGGGACCCCTCACACTAGGAAGGTGAAAATGTAGTAAAGAAACAGCCAGTTCACGTTTGTGCACTTATAGAAAAGAACATGTGAATAAATCTCCCCGGGATAGAGCACCTGGACCAAAAAATAGTTCAAAATGGGCCCTTTCAACCCTCCCTTACACACACACCCACCCCCCCCCCCCCCCCCCCCCCCCCCACCGGGGCGGGGGGGGGGGGGGGCTGGGGTGAACCTAGAGCTAGTGCCACCCTTCAACAGCCTGCCTTGATAGTGTGCTCTCTGTCTGGAACCTATGCCACCCACAGCAGCCCTGGCTGTGTTAAATAAGCATAGGGAAGCTTCTTTCCTGCTTTGTTCTCAGAGTGCCCCTGGAATCTGCTGCTGGGGTAGGCTGGAGGGTGGAGCCCAGGTCAAGCTAAGGAGAGGCCGTTCTTCTCAAGGCCCAGCCCTGACACTCTGCTGCTCTCTCTTCAGATCTTCCTTTGTGATTTTTATCTCCTTCTTCAAGCCAGGCTCCTCATGTTTCGGGTCTGTGGTAGCTAGTTTTATGCCACCTTAACACAAGCTAAAGTCTTGTTGTCAATTCAGAAAATGCTTCTGTAAGATCAGGCTGCAGGCAAGCCCATAGGGGACTTTCTTAATCAGTGATTGATATGGAAGGGCCTAGTCTATTGTGAGTGGTTCCACCCTTGGGCTGATGGTCCTGGGTTCCATAAGGCTGAGCAAGCCCAAGAGAGCGAGCCAGTAAGCAGCACCTGACGTGGTCTCTGCCTCAGCTCCTGCCTCCAGGGGTCTTATTTGAGTTCCTGTCCTGACTTCCTTTAATGATGGTCTACGATGTGGAAGTGTAAGCCAAATAAATTCTTTCATCCCTAACTTCCTTTTTTTACTGTGATATTTCATCAGAGCAGTAGTTACTCTCAGATAAGGTCAGAGGAATCTCAGACCACACTGCCACTCTAAACTCAGTAACTGAGTGAAGGCCAGCCCAACTGAGTGTGATACAAACCCACTCCGACTCTGATGTGGGAATGCTAGGATAATCCCAGACATAACCTTTTCACTTTGCTGGCTTCCGGCCACCAGCTACCCAATCCGTGACACTTCTCATGGGTCCTTTCTTCTGTGTTCCAAGTCATTTGCACTATTTCTCCTCTGGTTTTTAGCACAGTGCCCTGTCAGGACCCCCTCCCTAGCCTGGCTTTCCAGCCAACATCCTCTCCCTTCTGCCTTTGCTGATATTTCAAGTAAACCCTGTTGCCCTGCTTGAAGCCCCTGCCTGGGTTTCCCTGGGGCCTCAGGAGGCTAGTCAGTACCCTAGCCTGCTTGGTGACTGTTCTATCTCCCAGGCCTCTTTTCACAGAGACCACTGTCCTGTGACTCCTTGCATGTCTAAGAGATCATGCTCCCAAGCTCCAAACAGCCACACTGCACCTTTCTAGACCACAAAAGAAGGTGTCTCTTCCCTTCTTGCCGCCTCCTGGAATCATCATGTGCAGGAGGCACCCACGCTTTCTGGGCTGACACTGGGGAGTCCCCACTGGTGCCCACAGCTCTGTACATGAACCCTAGTCATAGTCCTGAGAAGATTGGCCTGGTTCATAGGTCATTCTTCTGTGTCCTCCTCTAATTTTACTGTGAGCACCCTGAGGGCAAGGACCTTACCCACTTTGGGAAATCTGAAATCTAGACTTAACTTGATGCTCCAAAAATATTTAAAATAGATATATACATATATATATATACATATATATATGTATATATACATATATATTATAAATTTATGCACATAACATATACACATTAAAGAATTATGTCATGGAGATCCAGAAGAGTTGGTAAGAATTAGCATTTATTTACAAATTATCTACTTGAAACAGTCCCTGATTTTATAATACTTGGAGAAAATTCTCCCATAAGTCCCCTCCCACTTTCTGCTGTCTTTTGCTCTGTTACTTCTGTAGCCTCAGGGCTTCTGAGACAGGGGTTTTCAGTCAACTGGTCCCGAAATCTGCTATATAACCACATACTACCTTCTTTTTCTTTTTTCCCTTTTAATTTTTTCTTTTTAATTTTATTAAATTTATTTATTTATCTATCTATAGATCTATTTGCAGAAAGGCACATGTACCACAGGACGCTTGTGGTCCAGAGAACAATTTTGATGAGTCTGTTCTCTCCCTCCACTGAGCAGGTCCTGGAGAGTCAACCTGTCAGGGTGACGTCACCTGTGGAGCCACCCCAGCCCCATTTTTAGTTATTTGAGACATATTTTTATGTAGGTTAGGCTAGCCTAGAATTCACTGCATAACTCAGGATAACCGTGAACTCCTGATTCTCCTGCCTTGGCTTCTTGAGTGCTGGGGCTACTGGCATGAACCACCATGCTTGATTTATCTTATTTCTTATGAAGCAAAGTTAGAAATAAAAAAAAATTGAGATGCATCCTGAATAAAGTATTTGAGTTTACTATATTTTCAAGGAGTGTGACTCTCTGTCTCTGTCTCTATCTCTCTCTGTCTCTGTCTCTCTGTCTCTCTCTGTCTCTGTCTCTCTCTGTCTCTGTCTCTCTCTGTCTCTCTCTCTCTCTCTGTGCATGTGTGTGCGTGTGTGTGCGTGTGTGTGCGTGTGTGTGCATGTGTGTGCGTGTGTGTGCGTGTGTGTGCGTGTGTGTGCGTGTGTGTGTGTTCCTTTGTCATCAAACTTGCTTCTTCCTGTGGGTCATGATTATAAAGCCCGAGTGTTCCTGCTTTAGGCAGCTAGTAGAAGAGTACGGTTAAGCAGAGAGTATTCTCTGGAAGGAGATGGTCTGGGGCAGACTTTTAATCAAGGAAGGAACAGCAAAGCAGATACTAAAACTACAGTGTTCTCTATACAAACAGTAGGTTGCCCTGGAATGCTTCTGTGGACTGAAGACAGACAGATGCGAGTGCATAAAATGGGAGAGGTCCTGTTACCAGGTGAGAAGCTATAAGATTCTGAAAAGCAGAGGGAGTCCCAGTTCACTGCCAGGAGGAGCTCCAGTCGACTGAAGTTCCCAGACAGGGGTGAGAAGCGACTTGTTTGCTAACCCAGTTTGCATCAGTAACAGCCCGAGGCTGCAAGTGTGTTATTGAGTTGTGCTTTGTAGAAGTAAAAGTAGTCCTCATTATGTTGGGATGGTGTAGAAAGCTCAGAGTCATCTGCAGTGCTCGGAGTAATGTGTTCAGTGCCCCAGCTCTATTAATGTCTAGTCTGGAAGACCATAGACAGAGGCAGACGAGATAGAGTTATGTAACAAGGGAACATAACAAGTGGACCTTGGAAACTACCACCCTGATAGCTATGCCAAGTATTTCCAACATCTTAGATGCCTTTAAATGGGTAAGCAAGACCCAGCCCACAAGTGTTCAGAAGGCAATGTTCTCCCTCCCTAGCCTGAAGTTTAGAGTCTGTTTGAAGACCGTTGCCATGTAAACAAAGGTTACCTATGATTGTTAGGGTAGCTTCTCGTTGCATTGGTTATTCTGGCCTGGACAAATTAGAATTGAAACCTGGACTCCAGGATGGATGTGGATGGAAAAAAAAAATAAAAGGAAGACAAATAAGGTGAACTGAAAACAACCAAAATTCTAAAAGAAAGATCTTTATAAGC